AGAATATTTTTACCCCTCTCTTCCAAGGGACCCTACACATTGTAAATCAGGCCAAGGTCTGCCTCCAGAGTTAAGGTTGGGGAGATTCTCCAGGAATCCAGGAAATCCTCTTCCTACCTGGTTCACTGCTCAGATTTCTTTTCCCTGGGCACCAGTTTAGTCAGCCTTGATTTTCCTGCCCTTTGACTTCCTTGGCTGCCCCAAGGATTAGGCGTGGTGAGAAACAGAGCAAACGGTGCTTGTTTCCTTTGGCACAGGTGTCGTCTGTTGTAGCTTTACCTTCCACCTTTTTCATCTTGCAAAGTAGCCCAGAGGGGCCGCCCTCCTCTGCGGCTTCCCAGCGTCGTCACATCCTTTCTGAGATGAGGAGGCCAAATGTGAGCGGGAGTTGCGACCGTAGCCACGCCAGAAGTAGGCAGGCAGCAACGTCCATTCAATTCTGCATTCTCACCATTGACTGATGTCTTTAAAGAAGCCAGTAGTACTAAAGCAGGCCTCCTTATTCAATTATTTTCTTTTTTAAAAAAAAAACTGCATGGCTTTAACATTCCCCAGAACCAGTTTGGTTGCAAAGCTCAGGTTCTGCTGCTCCAATATTGAAGGGGCAATCCTGATTCTCTGCGTCTTATTTCAAGCCCTTTTGGCATTGTGTCACCTTCATGCCAGGGCCTCGCAGGAGGAGGAGATGGTGCCTGGCTGCCTTCTGCCCCTTTCCAAGTAGCTCTCCTCCCACTGAGCCCCACCCCCAGGCACTGGGGAGCAGGTGGGGGGGGGGGTCTGCAGGCCTAAGGCTGCCCTGGGACTCACTCCCACTTCCCTCTCGTGTGTGTGTGTGTGTGTGTGTGTGTGTGTGTGTTTGTGCTCATTGCTTGCTTTGCTCCCCAGCCTCTGTATGGACACACGCAGCCGGTGACCTGCCTGGCAGTCTCCACGGCCTACTGCCTCCTGGTGAGTGGCTCTGCGGACGGATCCTGCCTCTTCTGGGACCTGAACCAGTTGACGTGCCTCACCCGGCTTCCTGCGCATGAGGCAGGCCTCTCGGCGGTTGCCATCAATGATTCAACGGTAAGGCCTTCATTTATCATCATTCTTCTGACAAATCCATGAACATTTCATGATGACTTAATGGGCGCTCTTCTCCGTGAGAAACCATCTCAAGGCGCGACAGATTGATTTTTTTTCTTTTTACCGAGGTTTTTAACAGGATCCTGAATGTTGAAAGAGGGCACTAAAAGCAATTTCTGAGTCAGAGGAGGAGGAGGAGGAGGGCTGTTATCTCTGAGAGCTTTCAGCTTTCAAGAGAGTTTGCCCTCTGGTGTGTTTGGTTACATGCAACCCTCCAGATGGCGTTGTTGGATGCCAGTTGGTGAAATAGCAGAAGATTCTCCCCTCCCCTCCCCACCCCAATCCACCCAGGGTTATCTTGCATTGTCTGCATCATCCAGGTTCATCTTGGGAGACAAAAGTCCTCTCCTAGCTTGCTAGTTTCTGGAAAGCAGCAGACACCTCCCAAAGAAATGTGTGAGTTGAAGCAGGGAAATGTACTTGCAGGGAAGTAATTAGGGTGGACAAAACAGCAGGTGAAGAGCAGAGGAAGAGGGTTTGGAGCTGGGAATGAGCAGAAAGGGGAAGAATTGGGCCACTCTTCCTTCCATCCATCCTTCCATCCATCCATCCATCCATCCATCCATCCATCCACCGCACCTCACACTCCCTATCAACAATGACTGGGACCGACCTTGGAGAAAGGAGCCAAACCAGCCCAAAACTCTGCTGCCCAGCCCCAGCCTGCCCAAAGGATGCCCTAGTCAACAGCATTGAAGGCCGCTTAGAGGCCAAGGAGAGCGAGGATGGATGCGCTGCCCCCCATCCTACTCTCGCCAGGTGCCAGCAAGGCTGTTTCTATCCCATACCTGGGCCCGAATCCTGACTGGAAGGGACTCAGGATTTCATCCAGGACCCTCTGAAGCAGCCATGCACCCAATTTCCCACCATCTTCCCTGAAAAGGGAAGGTGGGAGAGACTGGGCAGACCTTGTTCAATCACTCAATTCATTTTGAGTTTTTGCTTTTGTGACAATCTCTCCTCCTCCGTGTCACCTGCCTGGGCTGTTCCTGTGTGACCAAGCCCGCTTTCTTCCATGGGTCGATGCTGGTTGTCTGACCTTACTTGTGCGACGGAAAGGCCTGAACTGCCCTTGGGATGGTTTTGCAGGGTGAGGTGGCTTCGTGCGCTGGAGTGACCCTGTACCTCTGGACCGTCAACGGGCAGCCTCTGGCCAAAGAAAAGGCCCCCTTAAGACCTGGAGGAAGGCTCTCCTGCTGCTGCTTCTTTGAAGTGAAGGACTGGGATGCGCAAAGTCTCATTGTCACAGGAGACACAGATGGCTGCGTGCAGGTAGGACTCTCCAAGAGGGAGAACACCCCCCCCTCCAGGAACGCCCTGTTACGTCCCAGGAGCAGAGATTAATCCGCCTGTGGGGCTACAGCAGGGGCAGGTTCTCAGAAGGTTTTGACAAGGGCACCTCGTGCAGACGGAGGTGCACACCTTCTTCCCTGGCGCTCTTCTCTTCTGTAGGTAGGCAGGCGGGTGGGTGTTTGGAAGCAAAAGATGAACTGGAGACACTGCCTCCATGGGGAAATAGTTGGCGAAGAACAGATGAAACAGCCTCCTCCTTCACAACCCACCTCTTCTCCCCAGAGGTGGAATAGCAATAGCACTTAGACTTACATATCGCTTCACAGTGTTTTCCAGCCCTCTCTAAGCTGTTTACAGAGTCAGCATGTTGCCCCCAACAATTTGGGTCCTCGTTTTACTCACCTCAGAAGAATGGAAGGCTTGAGCCTGGTGGGACTTGAACTGCCAAATTGCAGGCAGCTGGTAGGCAGCAGAAGTAGTCTGCAGTACTGCACTCTAACCACTGTGCCACTGAGGCTTGACATGGAAAAAGTGGTTTCAGCCAACCAAGGCCGTGTTTTTCGGGGGAACCTCCCCAGTTCCAATCGGTTGGGTGGGGCTCATTCTCCAATTGCCGGCTGGGGAGCTCTAGCCTTACAAAGGAGTCTCTATAAAGCCTGGGGCTTAAACGGCCGTTTATAGACCACATCCAGTGTTTAGTAAAACCACTCACGAGAATACAATATTTTATACTTGAAACTCCACACAACGGCATGTTTTCAGCCTGCTTTGCATTTCCTTCTACTAATGCACTGAATTAGTTAAAACCAAGAAGGCATTTTAAGTGTTTGGTTTATCAGGAAGGAGTTTTTAAAGAAAGGAGGCAAAGGCCCCTGCCTGACTCCCCCCCCCGCCCCCTCCGGCTGAGCCCAGGGCGCCTGGCTGAAATCCAGGGGACGGTTTTCTTTTACGGAACTGTTACCTTTAAATACACGTGTGAAGGCAGCGATAGGGATCTTCCTCTGAGGGCTACAGAAGTTTGAAATCCAAGCCGCAAACAAGAAAAAAAAAAGAGGTTACTTTTAGGACCCTTCTCTGTCCTCCATCTTCAGGGCATGGGCAGTCCTTCACTTACAACCAGAATTGGGATCTATTACTAAGCGAGGTGGCTGTTAAGTGAGTTGTGCCTGATTTTACAATTTTTTTGCCATAGTACTTATGTGATTCCCTGGAGTTGTAAAATGAATCACTCAGTCATTAAGTGAGTCCGTCTTCCCCCACTGACTTTGCTTGCTGGAAGCCGGCTGGGAAGGTCACAAAGGTGGCCCAGGGAGGCTGCAACTGTCATAAATACATGACAGGCATCTAAATTGTCATTATGTGGCCGTGGGGATGGTGCAATGGTCATAAGTGTGAGGACCAGTTGTAAATCCCTTTTTTCAATGCTGTTCAAACGGTCGCTAAGCAAATGGCTCTAAGCTAGAGGATTCCCTAGGTCCGTGATGGTGAACCTATGGCACGGGTGCCACAGGTGGCACGCTGAGCCACATTGGTGGGCACGCGAGTGTTGCCCTAGTTCATCTCCAGGGCGCATGCGCGCACCGGCCAACTAAATTTCAGGCCTTCCGGTCCCACCAGAAGTCAGGAAACTGGCTGTTTCCGGCCTCCGGAGGGATGGGGAAGGCTGTTTTTGTCCTCCCCAGGCTCCTAGAAAGCCTTTGGAGCCTGGGGAGGTGGAAAAACGGGCCTACTGGACCCACCGTGCCATTGCGTGCCAAAAGCAGGGGGAAGTGTGGGGGGGGTCACGTGCGCATGCGCGGGAGGGCGGGGCGCATTGAATTACGGATGTGGGCACCTGCACCCCCCCCCCCGCTCCCGGCACGTGACGGCAAAAAGGTTAGCCATCACTGCCCCAGGTGCTTTTACTTAACCCTTTTCCTCGTTCCTCCTTCCTTCCTTTCTCCCACCTCGCAGTATTTAAAGCTAGAGGCCAGAAGCACCGAGGTCTCCCGGCTGAAACAATTCACAAACTCTTGTCTGAGAACTGAGTAATCTATTAAAGTTTATGGAATCCACTTCGTCTGATTCCCCCCCCACTTCCTTTTCGCCCCCTCCCCCCCAATCGCCACTTTTGACTGGTTCTCCTGGATGTTTCAGGTCTGGAAGCTTGAAGCAGCCTCGCCTGTGAGCCAGGGAGAGGAGCCGGTGGGAGAGGCCAAGGCTGGTAAGCGCCAAGCCCAGCAGGGTAAGGACACAAACCAGGCATGGGAAGCGTAGAAAGAGAGGGCTGCCAGCCTGCAAACGGCCAGCAGGGGGATCCCTCTGCAAAGTTTTAGCCCACTCCATCCTTGGCTGTTCCTCCCAAGAGAAAGGCAGAACTCGAATTGGCTTCCATGGGATAAAGGCAGCAGCCTTTACCCCCCCTCAATCAAGGGCCCCACAGACGCCTGGCCAGCAGAGCAACAGCCTGCTGGATTTGGGCATTTGTACATATTTGACATGCATGCGTATACCTATTTGGGAGATTATTGTACACATATTAGCAAGCATTTTCCCTCCCTTTGCAAGGCAAATTTACACACAACACATGCATGAGTATATGGTCAATTGGAGATTATTACTTTTATGGTCATGGGGAAAAAATTATCTGTGTGATTGCCAAGAGTTGCCACCGACTCAATGACACGTAACCATCAATCATGATTCATGGACAGTTCCTCCTCTTCATGTTTACGGCACAGGTTCAGCACTTGTTTATAAGACAACCTCCTTTCCTCAGTTGTACATTATCTACAGAAGGCAAGTATCAGTTCAGATGGTGAGCTGCGTCAGCTGGGACTCTGCCTTGCATCACTCCAAAGGCCACAAATCCTTACCGGGATCCCAATCCAAAGATGGCACGATGCATCTTTGAATAGCAAGCAGACTTCAATCCCAGCAGCCTCTGTTCCCACAAAACAATTTGCTCTTGAGGTATTTTCAGCAGCAGCAACAGCCAGATACTCCTCCGTTAGTTTTGCAACACTGGAAAGAACAATTCATCCAAAACAGGAGCACTAAAAATAAAGCTGAAGTAACCACGATTGAATTATATTATTTGCACAGTATTCTTGGCATTTAATTACTGATTGTACAAGGACCAGATTTAGATGCATTGAAAATAACCAGGACTTTAGGCAACTTGTTTTAAGTGGGCAACGCAAGGTATTCAGCGACATCTTATTAAGCACTGAAACAGGAAACACTGATGAACAATTCTGCTGAACTAGGCATGCAATTTAGAAAGCAATAATACACAAATCCAATTGAGCCACAGTTGATATAACCACACGTCAGCACATGTAACTATCATAGGCCGAAAATTCAATTGGGACCGGCCCTTCTGGCAGTCATAGAGGCGGGGATTAAATATATTTGTTCTCCGGTTAACGAATTATAAATAATAACATCTGCACCTCATCTCCAAAATGAAAATCCCCACCATTTCACGTTTCCTTTCTATCCTGCCAGCAGGCAGCAGAGGGGAGAAAGCGGCGTTTGTCCTCCAGCGGGAGCTGCTGCTTCGCACGAGCCCCCCAGAGGGAGCCCACCGACCCGCCTCGCCGGTCACAGCCCTGGCAGTTTCCAGGTAAGCCTTTGGACTGCAGTACCTGGTAAACTCACTAGGGGGCACGCGAGCTACACCCTCAGCAGCTCCGGCGCGGAAGTGGCTGGTGTGTCTTCCCAGCCAGTCGCAAATGGGAAGGAGGCAGTCAGGTATTAGCCCGGGGCCCCTCCTGCAAAATCTTTTTAACAAGGTGTTTTCCTTTACAGATACGGTCTATAACAGCCGTTCGATGGCCCCATATTCTCCCAGGGCAGTTTTGGTTAATAACTTAGGGAAGAACAGGATGGCCACCCAGTGCCTCCTTTTGCCTCTTGCAGCAAGAAGATATCCAGGGTGAAATAAAAACTCATCCTGACTAGGATGCCTTTAAACTTTGGTACCATTTTAGCTGAAAAGCAAACTGATGGTTTTAGTAGCAGTAGAAAAAAGATGATTGAACTTTCCAATGCAGTAAACCGGCAGGCAAGCCTACCTCCCACATTTTATTTATTTATTTAATAAATTTATTTGGCCACCCATCTCACAAAAAGTGACTTAGAAGTCAAGGGAATTTGAGCCTCAATCTGCTGAGAGGACTTGGCTGGGCACTCTAGGAGCAAGGAATTTAGAATAGAATAGAATAGAATAGAATAGAATAGAATAGAATAGAATAGAATAGAATAGAATAGAATAGAATAGAATAGAATAGAATAGAATAGAACAGAACAGAACAGAACAGAACAGAACAGAACAGAACAGAACAGAACTGCAGAGTTGGAAAGGACTTTAGAGGCCTTCAAGTCCAACCCCCTGCCTAGGCAGGAAACCCTACACCACTTCAGACAAATTGTTATCCAACATTTTCTTAAAAACTTCCAGTGTTGGAACATTCACAACTTCTGGAGGCAAGTTGTTGCACTTCTCCTTTCTCCTTAATTCTCTTAATTTCTCCTTAATTCTAAGTTGCTTCTCTCCTTAATCAGTTTCCACCCATTGCGTCTTGTCCTGCCCTCAGGTGCTTTGGAGAATAGCTTGACTCCCTCTTCTTTGGGGCAGCCCCTCAGATATTGGAACACTGCTATCATGTCTCCCCTAGTCCTTCTTTTCTTTAAACTAGACATACCCAGTTCCTGCAACTGTTCTTCATGTGTTTTAGCCTCCAAGTCCCCTAGTCATCTTTCTTGCTCTTCTCTGCACTCGTTCCAGAGTCTCAACCTCTTTTTTACATTGTGACGACCAAAACTGAATGCAGCATTCCAAGTGTGGCCTTACCAAGGCATTATAACACTTCACGTGATCTTTAATTTAATTTAATATTTAAATTTTTCTTGAAAATCTTGAGTCTATCCCTCTGTTTATGCAGCCTAGAACTGTGTTGGCTTTTTTGGCAGCTGCTGCACACTGTTGGATCATATTTAAATGGTTGTGCACTAGGACTCCAAGATCCCTCTCACAGTTACTACTATTGAGCAAGATATCACATATACTATACTTGTGCATTTTGTTTTTCTTGCCTAAATGTAGAGCCTTACTTTTTTCTCCATTGAATTTCACTTTGCCCAAATCTCTCTTCTTTTTTGTGGAGTTTGCCCAAATCTCTCTTCTGAGCGGTCTTCTCGAAACAAGGGCAGACATTGGGAGCCAAGGCAGAGAAGAAAAACCCAGGTCCTTCCATCTTCACAGCAGCCTTAGGATCAGCTGACTGGTATCCCAAGGGATCTGGAGGGGACTGAGAAATCTGCTTTGGAAGCAGTGATCTCTGCAATATTAAGGAAAATAATGTTTAGCCTGAGATATTGTGGGTTTGGTTTTTTTACTTTATGTGTATGCTTACGCCTAATCTTTTGTCTTGGTATTTATTTTCTCTGTTTATAATTTTTCATTATCTTTTCCAATCTAGCCTGTAACTAAATTTATACTGGTTAACCTTGCAAATGCTAAACAGAATTGGCCTTATTTAGCTTTTTCAAAATCAATCAGATCTCCAAATTAATGCATAAAGTAGTTGACCTGAAGGGAACCACTTTAGAACACAACCATATCCTATTGTACAGTTTCCATTCAAGGTGCCACAGCCCCCAAATTATCTGAACCTACTAGTTGCTTCTTAAAAAGACATGTAAGTAAACTATTATCCTAAAACAAAACAACTCCCAAAAGGTGAACCTGGTGGCTTGGAAGTCCTTGATCATGGTCAGGGTGAAAAAGGCTAAATATGTTTCAGTCTTTCAAAGAAACACAAACGAAGTGTGATATTATGAGACCTCATAAAAACACCAGCATACAAACACAATACTCTCATATAAAGTCCGGAGTCCCTCATCCTTTCAGAAAGGTTACACCTCTGAGCTGCATCTCTGGTTAACCTCTTACCAAATAAGTATTTTCCAGCTGGACTGGATTAGAGTCAGAATATAGGAGAAGTATTGAAAAACAGAGGGTCACCCTGAGGAGGAGAGAGATTACAATCTAAAGGTTATTTCTGTTAGTATTTCTTCTAAAGCTCTTCCAGGGGTTTTCAAATATGGATCTGACTTTAAAATGTCATGGATAGCATCAACAATGAAATCCACTTACCTTTGCTACCGGTTCAGAAACGGGAGTGCACAGAGCCTTCTGCACATGTGCATAGGGTCAAAAACTGGATGTAATGACGTCCCGGCGGGTGGGTGGAGCCTCCCGCCACCGGTGCTACCGGTTCGCACAAGCCAGATAGATCCGGTCGGATTTCACCACTGGATAACATCCACCTCCCACTGTAATAATTATTTTGGGCAGAAGCATTCGGTGTGATTGGAGTGCTCTCAATCTAAAACTTTTTCTTCTTCTTCTATCTCTAGGAATTATTCCAAGCTTCTGGCTGGCAATGAAGATGGGAAGGTCTGCTGTTGGTCAGTTGAGGAGTAGAAGGAAGAAGTAGATGTAAATGTAAATCCCAGCAAAATATCCTTCCAACGGAGCCCTTCATTGAGCAAAGGATGGGATGGGTCCCTCTCGCCTTAGTTGTCGGAACCTGAAATGATTAACTGAGATGGGGCAGATGGGAGAAATTTTCAGGAATATTTGGCCCCAAAGTCTCTCCTCTGTTGACTTGCAAGGCTGAAATAGCAAATTCCCACGGGCTGTTTAAGAAGGGACCAAAGTGGGATCTGTGGGGAGATTTCTCAGATTATAAAGAGGAATGAAGACTGAGGCGAAAATTCTCCAATCTTGGAAAACCTCAGTCTGCCATCATCAGCACTAAGGAACAAACTAATCTACGAAAATGTTCGGCAAACCTTTCAACTAGTATTACCTAAATGTTAGGTAATATGCTGGTTGTTATTTATTTTCAATATTTTGGCTTTCCTGAAACTTTAGCAATGGAGGATAAAGTTTCATAGGATTCATCCTGATATCTGAATTTTTTATTTTATTTTTTATTTTATTTTTAAAATTTTTATACCTCTCCCGAAGGACTCGGGGCGGTGAACAGCCAAAATTAAAAAACATACAATATAAACATTAAAATACTATAAAAACAAAATTAAATTTATCTTTGGCTTCCCCAATTTAAAACCCCTTACCCATAAAATTCCCCAATTAAAGATTTTTAACCCAGCCCGGCTTGCTGAAATAAAAAAGTCTTCAGAGCCCAACGGAAGGTCTGGAGGTCTGGGATCAGTTGTATCCCTGGGGGTAGCTCATTCCAGAGGGCGGGTGCCTCCACAGAGAAGGCTCTTCCCCAGGGGGTCGCCAGCCGACATTGCCTGACCGACGGCACCCTGAGGAGGCCCTCTCTGTGGGAGCGTATTGGCCGGTGGGAGGTTATCGGTGGCAGAAGGTGGTCTCGTAAATAACCGGGCCCTAAGCCATAGAGCGCTTTGAAGATGAGAACCAATACCTTGAAGCGCACCCGGAAGACCACTGGAAGCCAATGCAGCTCGCGCAGGAGAGGTGTCACATGGGAGCGCCATGTCGCCCCCATAAGCACCTGCGCGGCTGCATTCTGCACCAGTTGGAGCCTCCAGGTGCTTCTCAAGGGGAGCCCCATGTAGAGAGCGTTGCAGTAGTCCAGGCGGGAAGTGATGAGGGCATGAGTGACCGTGCATAAGGAGTCCCAATCCAGAAAGGGGCGCAACTGGCGTATTAGGCGAACATGATAGAAAGCCCCCCTGGCCACGGCTGTCATATGCTCTGAATTTCTGGCAGTTTCTTTCGTCCCTCCCATTCTTTTCTTTTTTTTTTTAATGCCACACAACCACAGATGTTGACTGAGACCCTGCTGAGTTTGTGTGTGTGTGTGTGTGTGTGTCCGTTTGTGTAGGAATTAAAGTTTTCCACTTGGTCTGTTTTTCTTCTCTGACTAATAGCAACCAGGGTGGCTGCTCTGGTTGTCCATGAGCTGGTCTGAGTTGACTCGCGTCTCCTGGACCAGAAGCAGAATCCGAATTGCGCCAGAATTGCTCTTGGGAAAGATGAGATGGGAAACCCACCCTCGTGGTTCTGGGGTCACCTGTACTTTGGTCTTGACATTTCAATTTCTCTGCCCAGCCAAACCTAGTTCAGCTCTCAGGGACAGCTGCACCTGCGTTTAGGGCTTGATGCAGGGCGTTTCCTCGGGATGTTCTCGGTAGAGGCTGTGTGATTGCTAAAGAAAAACTTTGCTCACAAAGTCTGGTCTGAGCAGCCTGTAGATGAACGAATGACTTTGTCAGCAAAGAAGGTTGAGTGACAACTGTTCATTCCAATATTCCACAGTATGGAAAATCAAAGGTGGCTCGTTCTGCACAGGTACCTGAGAGGCACAGAAAAGAAACCACGCTGTGGCCTCACCTAAAGTGACAATCCGATAGGCATCATATTAGGATTTTTTGTTTTGTTTTAATCTCTGGCACCTCGTACAGATTTCGGCTGTGGCCATGAGACATCTGCAGACAGGTGTCCAGCTGGACCCTCAGCCTTCCAGCAAGGCTTCTGCATCAGAGGTCAGGGACACTGGAGGTTGCATCCTCTCTTTGTCCTGGCTTCCTAGCTGCGTTCTTGCATTAACTCAGTTCTGCAACGGGCCCAAGGCTGGGCCTTCTTGCTGGATCTCCGTGGAGCCCTGTTGAGACAGCCATGTCCTTGGGATCCCCCTCAACTCCGTCTCCCCATGGAGAAGCAGGAGGCGCACAGCTGCCAACTGGTCCCTGCTTTCCTGGCTCTTCTTCTGGATGGTGACAAGGGTTGAGCAGCCAGCCACCCACCGACCTGCATCGTTCAACAGCTGCACGAGGGTTATTTAGCATCTCGGTCTGGAAATCTCAGTCACGTGGTGGTGGTGGCGGCGGCGGCGGCGGCAGCCTGTGAGTAGAATACAGAGTGGCTACTTTGCGCCTCCTTCTATACAAACATTTCTGTGTGTCGTGGCCTGAGCTGTGATAAGTGGGAGTCAGGCTGGTGGAAATCTACTCGAGCCTGCCTAATTGTCCCAAACACAACGGTTCACTAGAGTGGAAAATAGTTTCCATCTATCTAAGTGAAGAAGATAATGACCTTTTAAATAACAGGAGCAATTTTATCTCAATACTGCAATTACTGTGAACTCTCAAAATGCCAAAGTGCTGGGCACTTTCAAAATAACTTAATTTAGACATTTATAGCTCTTAGACACTGCTAGTTTCTTATCTAACCTAATTATGGGTTGTTCAGGAAATGGCAGAGCATGCCAATTAATGTTATTTTTTATAGAGATAGATAGGAAGGGCCTTTGGCTCCCTCCTTCCTGAGGCAGGAGCTGTCCTCCTTTGCCGGCTGTTTTTCCAGCCCCGCCACTAAGGGGGCAGCCAAGCTGAGTAGTTGAAAGATGCACAGATCCCAAAAAACAGGCTTTGGTGTCTGCGAGAAGACAGCCGTCTTCTGTCCGTTTGTCCTTGTGGCAACCAGATTCTCTGCTGAATGCTGGAGCACCAGGTGCAGAAGCCAGTCATGGCCACATCCTCCCGATGAACTGGACTCTAAAAAGGAGAGCGGGGAAGAAGGGACCACAGCTAGGATAGCCAGAAGTCACCTTTAAAGGCATTTTCCGCATTGCATTTGAAAGTTAAGTTATATTGGGCCCCGAGAAACACCCCTCTGGCTCAAGGTGTAAGAAGGGTGCTTGCTTCTGCCTGTGGGGTGTCCTGGTGGAGAAACCAGGGCTCTGCTCTTTGCGCAGAAAAGGCTACGTGGTGGTGGTTGTCATCTCCAGGCGAAAGGGTTACAGGTTCTTCTGCCTTGGCCAGGAGCATAAGAGGACGGGAGCTCCCGTGGCCTTACAGCAGCTGAAGAATGCAGCCCCCCCCACCCCTCGAATTAGGAAACAGGGTCACCAGACTGGGTGCAACCTTCCTCTCCACTTTCACACCTAATATTGGGGTCCTGGTTGGTCAGTTGGCAACACATCAGCCCTAATTGTTCTGCTGTTCAATGTGAAATGAGAATCAGAAGAGAAAACAAGGACTTGGTGTCTGGGGAGGCAACGTTGCCATATTCATCATAATCTTAATTCCCTTTCTGCTTTTCTTGTCTCCGGATCCTTTTGAATCCCAGGTGTTGACGGGAGCAAATTAGAGCTTGTGTTGGGGGCTGCCAATGCATTGACTAACCATCTTCCTGCCTGAGCTGATGCGCTGAATTGATGTCAGACTTCTAGTTCTGGAGAATCTTCTCCCCTGGAGCGGTTCTCTGAATTCATGGCTTCTGTAACTATGAGCTCAGCTCTAGCCACCTTTGACTCACACCTTGTGCAATGTTCAT